TCACGTGACCGGTATAAATCTGCACACGTCTTTTTTCGGCACGTCAATTTTTTGCTCCCTTCTGCGCAGAAGATATAAATCGATTTCGCTTCATTAGAAATGCAAACATTTCACCTAGGACTGAGTAAATGCGGTGAGTGGTGGGTGGTGGGAGTGCGAGGTGCTGCTGCTGCTACTGCTGCTGCTGCTGCTACTGCTGCTGCCGCTGCTGTTGCTGTTGCTGCTGCTGCTGCTGGCGTGTGGCTGTCATGCATGCTCAATCACTGCTGCTGCTGCTGGTGTTGCTGCTGTTGCTACTGCTGCTGCTGTGGACGAAGGTTAAATTCACCTTCGTCAACAGAAAGAAGAAGAGAGAGAGACACAGCGACAGAGACAGAGACAGACACAGCGAGAGAGACAGNTACACGCACACGCACGCACGCATGCACGCCCATGCACGTACACGCACACGTACACGTAGACGTACACGTACACGTACACGCACGCACGCATGCACGCCCATGCACGTACACGCACACGTACATGCACACGTACACGCACGCACGCATGCACGCCCATGCACGTACACGCACACGTACACGTACACGTACACACGCACGCGTACACCAGGATACTCTAATCACGCACACGTCCACACACACGCACGCATGCACGCCCATACACGTACACGTACACGCACGCATGCACACCCATACACGTACACATACACGCACGCATGCACACCCATACACGTACACGTACACGCACACGTACACACACACACACACGCACGCATGCACACCCATGCACGTACACGTACACGCACGCAGGCACGCGTAGTCCAAGATACCGTAATCACGCACACGTACACGCACGCAGGCACGCGTAGTCCAAGATACTGTAATCACGCACGCGTACACATTCACCAGGTCCCCGACGCACAACTCATACACGGCTTACGATAGAGCCAGCTACATAGGCGCACACACGCGTACACTTACTCGCATGCAAGCACGCGTACACATGTACACGCATGTACACGCATGCACGCACGCGTACACGCACGCACGCACACACACGCGCAAATGCGCACACATATTATAGCGCACGCTTATATAGGTGCTGCCATCTCTTGACGAGCAACTACAAATTCAGCGTCAGCAAACTACCTCAGTAGTAACCATGCTCCTAAAGACACGTGATTGCAGTCGCTAGCACGTGATTACTGTCCGATGGCGTGATTTATTTACCATAAAAACTAATTTCCTATAATTTAAATTAATTATGCTCTAATATGTTAAAATGAATTATATATCTGAATATATTAATAAAAAATCATAATATCATATATTGATATATATATTATTATATATATCATATTTAATATAATTATATAAAAAAGCGAACACGTTATTTTGTGGAATGATATAAAGTACACGTTTATATACATCAAGAGAAATCATACATTACGATACAAACACGCGCGTTCCCAATATAAAACATCTTATTAAACGGTCATCTCTACGACTTACTAAGTACTGATGTACTGCTACCAACTTACTTCTCAGCAGCTAAGCGCTGGAATATCCTGATAGCAGGATCAATAACTACTGATCTATCATAATTGGGCGCGTTGTTTGCGGACGGAAATCCGTCTGGACGAGATCGATATAATCCTGATCGGCGATCAAAACAAAACGCCAAAAAACTGCCACATTCACTTCAAACGTTTCACGGGCTGTGAACCGAGGCTTATCACGGGCAGGGGGCTCATAACAAAAGAAGCCAGGTTTCTGTGATTGGCTGAGGCCGGGCCGCCATATTGGCAATCCGGCGTTCGAACAGCCGCCTCGCTAGAAGCGGTCGGGTCGGGTCGAAGATCAAGTGATCGACGCAAACAAACAGCCAGATCGAATCAATCCATCGGATCGAGATCCGGTGATCCGACCAAACAAACGCACCCTATGTGTCCGTAACATCAAGGGGTATTAATACCTGAGAGCTAACAATAGGTATAATAATCAAGAGGTAATGACCCACTGGGAAGAACCTCTCTCCCTGCCGCCGCTACAGGCTCGTCATCTTGCTCCCGTATGCCTCCTCCTCTTTCTTCCCGTTCTCTCCCACCTCCTCCCCTCGATACGCAGATTCATCTCCCCGTCGAATTTCATCTCGTTTTCCGCCACAGATGCGCTGCCACCGGCTCATCAAACACCGGGTTATCCTTCCGGCGAGTTTCACCTCGTCCGCCTCCTGGCCGTATCCTGCCGGTAGCATCTGAACACGTCCCACTTCAGCGCCACCTTGCGGCACGTGAACAGATAATGCGGCAGCGCTGACACAGCAACAACTCCTGTCAAACTTGCCAACATCGCCAGCGTCCGAAACGGAAACAGCTGACCATCCGCTTCGTTGTAGTACGGGTAGTGAACGGCAGGTGGCAGCCCGATCAGCGGCTCCCCGCCGACGAAGCGCAGGATACAGCCGACGATGTAGGCGACGACGGAACCGTACGTGTTCGCCCAGGGAACGTAGAGCGACGACAGCAGCTGAGGAAAGAGGATGACGTAGACGAGGTCGGAACAGAGGAACCAGAGACCGTAGATGGATTCGACGGCGAGGCCGAGAGCCATGGCGAGGACGCCGACGACGACGATACCGCCGCGGACCGTCCACACGAGCGCCACCTGCGGGAGCTGCGGGGAAACACAGACGTGGTGGTTAGCAGCGTCACGTGACGTGAGAATAGCGACGAGAATAAAAATCAGTGATTTGTTCTTCTAAGCTCGTCTAGTATTATGTATGTGTATTATTGTTTTATTATATTGTCTTGTGTATTATTATCTGTCCGTGTGTCCGTCCGTTCGTCCGTCCGTCCGTCTGTCCGTGTGTCTGTCCGTGGATGCGTCCGTGGATGCGTCCGTACGTCTGTACGTCTGTAGGTGCGTCTGTCCGTGCATTTATCCGTGGGTGCGTCCGTGCGTCTGCCCGTACGACTCTCCGTCCATCCGTCAGTTTGTGCGTCCGTCCGTCCGTCCGTCCGTCCGTGCGTGTATCGATCCGTGGGTCTGTTCTTACGTCCGTCCGTACGACTGTCCGTCCGTCCGTCCGTGGGTGCGTCCGTACGTCTCTACGTCTGCACGTACCTCGCGTCCGGCAATGGCGATCCAGATCTCTCTGACGATGTTGTTAGCGAAGAGCGACGCCCCGCTGAGAAAAGCCGAGTCCACAGACGACATGACGGCAGCCGACACGGCGCCCAGGCCGACGAAGGCGACCCACGTCGGCGTCAGGTGCTGCATGACGATGGGAAGGATCAGCGGCTTGTCGTCGTCTGGTATCGGCACGACGCCGCCGTACGACGTCGCGTTCCAGTCTATATGTGGACGGAAGAGGAAGAAGTCTATATGGATGGAAGGCGAAAAAAAGAAGAACTAGAAGAAGAAAGGAAGAACAACAAGAAGAATACTATACGGAAGGAAGACCCGCTGCGGTGGAGACGGTGTGTTAATAGAGGGCGCTATGTTAGCGAAGAGTGTCGTTAGGGAGAGCCACTCACCGGTAGAAGCTCCTATGGCGCCTATGAGTATAGGCGGTATACTCATGAAGATACAGCCAGCAGCAGCTATGAACGACAGTGCTCTCGCTCGGCCGACAGACCTCGCCGACAAAACACGTTGAAAGTAGACCTGCGGCCGGGAAGTTAGCAATTAGGTTCAGCTTTATGTACAGTGTTTATATAGGCCATATTATTAATATACAGTGTTTATATAGGCCTTATTATTTATGTGCAGTGTTTATATAGGCCTTATTATTCATGTACAGTGTTTATATAGGCCTTATTATATATGTGCAGTGTTTATATAGGCCT